GAAACTGAATTTTCAGCTTTGTTAAATCACATGTTAAATAAGGGCAATAGTAGCATCCAGACATTTTATTAACATTAATAGTAGTCTTATTAAAAGAAAAGAACAGATGAAATGGCCACTTTTTGTTTTTTTTGTCCCCCCACTTTTTTTCCTTTGACTTTCCTGCTCCTTCAGTATACGAATGGATTAATTTATGTCTAATCTCCTCCAAAAATGAATAGTTTGTGCTTATTGGCCATTTTGTTTTTTGCGCATTACTGTAGCTACAGCAAAATAAGTTAGAGAGTGAAAGTGATGCAAACACAGATGCATTTGTCTGTCGCAATCGTCGCAAGATTGGACAGTCTTTGTAGAATGATGGTCAGAAATCCTGTTCTGTCTAAAGAGAAATCGTTGCATGCTTTGCCTACAGTGTACATTGAGTTTTCAGTTCAGAATGCTAGACTTTGTGCCATTTTAACACAATATTTTGAGTATTGCACTACAATTTCTCATTAGGGTTAATAGAATTTTGACAGCGTTCCATGAAGCTTGTTCTTAGAAACAGTTGGTATGAATGAACGGGGCATGGATGAATCAATTCCCCATCCTTTTGTTTCATTTTTAGGCTAATATCTGCTTTGCACACCTTGTGAATGCAGTGCTGGAGCTTTGTGAAGAGAGTGTAGCTGCTGAGACAGAGGCTGATGTGTGACTGCATGTTTGCCACACGCTGTTAATTTGCTCATGCTAATGAACGCACATAATAAAGGTGCTGCCATTGATATTGTGCGAGAGAGTGATGAAATGTCCTCAAAATGTCCAGATGCTACTTCTGTTTTTTAGCAGGCCAAAATAATGGTTTATTTATTTATTTTTCTTACTTTCAGTACAGTAGGGTTTTAGCACCCGCTTGGCTTAATAGCATTCAGCGCTTTGCTTAACAAATAAGGTGCAGCCAGTTACCAAGGATACTGATTCTCCCAGTACAGCCTGAGTGATAAAGCGCTTAGAGTCACTGTCTGTGACTCTCTCTCTCTTGCTCTCTCTGTCTCTCTCTCTCTCTCTCTCTCTCCTTCTTTCTTCTCACCTTTCTCAGCTTTCTGCTTTTTCCATCCTCTTCTCATCTTTCTCTTTTTTTTTTTCTCTCTCTCTAACAAGAGTAAAAATAGGACTCTTCACCTCCGTTGTCCACATGTTCTATTGTTTCAATACTCAGAGAAGAAAGCTAATTTTATCTAATGGACAGGGAGAGAATGAGTGTCGGCAGCAGGGAGACTTTAGGGGAGTGTATATGACGCAGATGCTAGGCCAGATACACCCCTACCTCTCAGATCAGATCTGATGAGAACTTAACAATGTGAAATCCCATTACTGAGAAACATAGACAATATAATGTAAAAGTTACTCTGTTCTGCATTAGCATTGGTCATTTAACACTGCTACACTAGGGCCACTGGAGGCTATATACACACCTTATTTCCAAAAACACTGGGATTTACTATTGTGCTCACCACTTTTCTTTAAACCATTCTTCCATAATGCCATTCTTCCATTATACAAGTCTTCAGCAGAACAACCATACGGAGCCTTCAGTGTCATATTTTGCACTTCGTAATGCGCCACACATTTTTGTGTGAGACCGGTCTGGACCGCAGGTAGGACAGTGTAGCACCTGCACTCTCAGATTATGCAACCATGCTGTTGTAACTTCTGCAGAATATGGCTTGGCATTGTCATGTTGAATTAAGCATGAATGTCCCTGCAAGAGATGTCTTGAAGGCAGCATATGATGCTCCAAAGTATGTATATATCTTTCAGTGTTAATGGCCCTCACAGATGTGCAAATTAGCATGTCCTGACCACTAATACACCCCTCATGCCATAACAGACCATGGCTTTTGTACTTTACGCTGGTAATAATCTGGATGGTCCTTTTCTTCTTTGTCCCAGAGAAACACAACATCTATTATTTCCATTGTGTAAGGTTGACTTGTCAGACTACAGTACATGTTTCTACAGTGCGTCATTCTGTTTAAGACGTTGGCGGCGTTTCTGGACACTATTGACATATGGCTTTCACTGTGCATAGTATGGCCTTAACATGCATTTGTGGATGCAGCAACAAACTGTGTTGTCAACAGTTGGTCAAACAATTCCCAAGCTCATGTTGTGGTATCCATCACAGAACCCTTTACAAATGCAGTGCTATCGAGGGGATAGATCAGGGACATTCAGCTGTGGTTTTTGGCCTCTCCAAACTCAGAGATTGCCTGATTCTTCCCGGATTCCCGGAATCTTTTGATGTTATGCACTGTAGAGGGTGAAATACTAAAATCTTTGCCATTGCTTGTTGAGGAACGGTATTCTTAAATCTATGATTATTTGCTGCCGTATATATATATATATATATATATATATATATATATATATATATATATATATATATATATATTGTTTTTTTTTTTTGTTTTTTTTTGGTTGAATTGCCAAGCCAATGACCCATCATTACTAAAAGATAAGGCCTTTCCCAGATGCTCCTTTTATGCCCAAGCATGGCTGCGCCAGATGTTTAAGATGTTTTTTGAGCATTTCACAACCTTCCTAGTCTAAAATTGCCCCAACGTTTTTGGGACGTGTTGCAGGCATCAATTTCAGAATAAGAGTATATTTACAAAAAGCAATGAAGTTAATAAGGTAAAACATCAAATATCTTGACTTTGAGGTCTGTATAAGAGGCTCAGTTCTACTTTAGAATAGGGCATTAAACACTTCTATACTGGGGCCAGCACTGGAGGCTGTAATTAGAGATGTGTATTTTTCGAAAGTAGTATCGATATTGAAACCCTATGCCAATACCAATCTGATCTGATCTGATACTTTTTTCTTTAAAATGACTTTAAATAAGCTGTTTTTAATGATGCGCTTCACCTAAGATGAGCATCTAAAAGTAGTCTGTCATGCTCAAGCAACTCAACTGCTCTACTACCCCACAAATTCACAGCTAACAACATCACACCACACGGTGTGAATAAGTGCTACTTCAGGATAGATTTGTTACAAGATTAGATCAGATTCATTCTTTTTTTCCCCTCTGCTATCCACTCCAGCATTGTCTGATACTTGGTATCAGATCAGTGACATATCTGTAAATCATCGCTGTCCAATGAAGAATGTGTATTTCCAAAAGGAGAAGACAGAAACTTACTTTGCTTTTAATGTAAGTTAATGTAGAGAAATTTTATTCCATACCATTTTGGAGCATTTCAGCTGCTCTACTCTCATGAAATTTAGAATGTAAAGGACAGCTGCTGTGCTCAAGTGATGTAGGAAAAATGTGAAAATTTGTTTGTTGTTTGTTTCTGGACAGTGATGCTATAAGTATTGCATACCACAACACATAGCTGTATATCAGTGGTTGACTCCATTATTTGAGGAGGATACAGAGGAGAAGTGAAAGAGATCTTTTCATAAGGTTTTTATTTCATTAGAGAGCTCCTCTGATACCCCAAGACACAAGACACAATATTGAAGTTTAGATGAAGTTCAAATCTTGAAATGCTGCACTGAAAATTATGAACCATTTATGTTATTTAGATATCAGCATGTTTAAATGAATTGAATGAATAGCAGTGGACTATCCCAATAAAAAATATTTGTTATTGTTGTGAATAAAAAATTACAACACATAGTTTAACATGTGTTTCTTGCATGCAGCAAGCAAGCATAAGAGGGAATCTGTACGTGATGATTAGGTGATTTATCTTTGTGTTTTACAGGATTCCTGTGGATCCTTAAAATGTCTTTTATTGTCGTAAATTAGATTTTAAAAATATAAGGCTTTAAAATGCCTGAAAATGTCTTATTTTTGCCATTGGAGCTTAGAGAGATAAAATTGTATATGATGATGCCTAAAGATTGAGTTAAAAAGAGTAGAATAATCTGTCCACCAAAAAGCCAGCTGACAGCAGTCCTAGTGAACCTGACCACTAATGAAGGACTGATGGACGGCAGACCTGATAACACAGTCAAACAAACTAAGAAAGAGAGCAGTTGGTGGAGCTAGAAAAATTCAGAAAAGGTCTAGTGTCTACGTCATATGTCATAGATGTATCAAGTATGTACACAGTCGTGTAAAAGTTTGAACACCCCTGGTCAAATCTCAGGCTTTGTAAATTTTCTAAGTGAAAATAAGTTAACACATCCTCTGCAGAGAACACACTTAAATGTGATGTTTTGTGCCAACTTTAGTGCACAATTTCTGTTTATCAGTTTGACATATTGGACATAAATATAAATATAGAAATTGTAAACATAAAAGTGTCATAACTTTGGTACAGGCCTCTTTTTATGTTTGATTTTTTCTCCAATATGTTAAGTTCAGCAAATAAACAGTATTTGTGCATTAATGTATGTTCTCTGTAGAGGAGGTGTTAAATTATTTTCACTTAGAATACCAACAAAACACGTCATTTAACCAGGGGAGCCTAAATTTTTGCATACTAATGTAGATTTTTTCAACCAATATATGTTATATTTGAGTTTGTGTGTGTTGTTGGTATTAGTTTTTATTTATTAATGGTTAAAAAAGGTATTAAAAAGCATTTAAATTTGTGCAGCAGTCTTCTGTGATTTAATTTACCACTATTTGGCCTACAAAATTATATTTCTTTCAGTTGCATTTAATTTAATCTCTTTGGTTCTAGCTTGCACACTTACAAGCTAAACGCTTAAGAAAATACATGACTTTTCTTCATTTATTTTTTTTTTAATTCCAGCCTACACATGCCTAAGTGAACATATACTATGACATGTACAGACGTTCATATATTGGAACATCCATGCCCAACTCTCCTGCAGCAATCTAGAACCTACTTTCTTTTCTTAAGTTGTGAAGTCCAGTATGAGTAAATACATTGTCAGACTTCTCTCAGGTCAGGATGATCCAAAGTCGGGTCACAGCAGTTGGTGCTGCTCTGCAGGACTGAACTCTGCTTGTGTGTGTTTGTACCTGGTGGCAGGTCCTGAATCCGATGGGCTGGGATGCTTTCGGCCTACCTGCGGAGAATGCTGCCATTGAGCGAGGTCTGGACCCTGAAGACTGGACTAAGAGGTAGATGTGTGCACTCACTCTTGTTTTTGCTGTTTTTTTCCTTCTGCTGTGTTATCGAATTTGTTGCTGTTATTTATTTCCCCTGACGTCCACTTATACTGATGGTTTTATGTACCAAAAGTAGTCAAAATTCACATAATTGAATTCAATTTTAAAACATTTCTTAGTATTAAACAGGCTGTGCCTTTAAGAGTGATATATGTAGATGACCTTTGTTCTCATTGGCTGACCCATTCATAAATGCCCTGTGTTATGACTCATTTAAAAAGCTACAGATTGTCACTTCAACATAAATGGGCAGGGCTAAGCTGCTATTGGCTGAATGCATGGTTATGTGTAGTATGCGTTTACGGTTGTGATGTCACAACCATGTTAATTTACCATGAACTGTTTTTGCAGTTTCATTTCCATATTGTATACACTTGAGAGCACGTTTTGAATTATGAGTCTAGGCCTGTGTTCAGCCAGGTTTGTTGTCCCTAACGTAGATGAGAACGCTCTAGAGATGCGGCTGTTGAACATGCTGGGTGCTGCGGGCAGATATGATGCCTGTACAAAATGTCATCACTATGGTACGGTGTGCATTTTGAGGCATTCTCAGGCGTCAGGTTTCAGACAGAAAGGCTTAAAATCTACTAACTAGAGTAATTGCCCCCTAGTTTCATGGCCAAATTAGAAATGACAACTGCAACCATAACTTAAGAAGTTATTGGGTATTACAGAATGGAAGAGAGAGAGAGAGAGAGAGAGAGAGAGAGAGAGAAAGAGTGTGTCGGTGTGCCAAGCAGTGGTGCTCCAGGCCCAGGGCTGGGAAACACTGCTTTAAAACGTTTGTCACACCATGATTGTTTTGCGTAGCTTTGATTTATAGCTGTAGGTAGTGTTATTAGTAGTGTTAGTGACTCAGTGCTCGTGCACACTGTGAGAGGTTAAGGGAGAGACAGAGCTCAACATTACCGCTCATTTCTAATCTGTAATAATAACAGTCTTCATTATCGTCTGACCTTCTCTGTCCCCTTATCTTTTTCTGACTCTCTCTCTCTCACTCTCTGTGTCCTTATTGCTCCCTCTCTCACATGCTCTGTGTCAGTGGTATGTCCAGAGACAGGACTTATAGCATCACTGTGAGTGCTGGTCTGTGAGGAATGGTGTGAGTATGTGAGGAAAACTGATAAACGCGCATACACACATTCACTGAGAGTCAGGACCCACCCACCCACCCACACCAATCCATCAGTTCATCACAAGCCCCCAAACTTTACAATCCCACTCAGTCTCTCGAAACATCTCTCTCCCTCTCCCTCCATCTCTCTCTCTCTCTCTCTCTCTCTCTCTCTCTCTCTCTCTCTCTCTCTCTCTCTCTTGCTGTCCCTCTGTCTGTATAGTAATATCCAGTCCATGCGAGAGCAGCTCGACAGCCTGGGGCTGTGCTTTAATTGGGACCGGGTGAGTAAAGAGAGATGTGCCCTGTGTGTGTGTGTGTGTCTGTGTGAGTGTGTCTCTATAGGCGTGGGTGGTCCTCATTTTCAGGGAACCTCCATAGCCTCAGCAGTGCTGCACGGAGCACATATGTGTAATTTCACATTTGTTACAGTGCAGCCTGGTAGCCTTGCATCATTCCATCACTCAAAATATTGACTTTTAAGCTCTGAGTTAATGTTGCAGTGAAAGTGGCTGGTTACCATGTGAACAGATCGCTGCTGTTCCCAGTAACAGCAGTAAAAGTCCCATTCTTGCAGAGCTGTCATCCCCCCCTTCTTCCCAGTCACGCAATCATGCGTTCATGAAGAAATATGTTCATATTGGTCATATTCACTATGCGTTTGTGCACTGATTGTGCCAGTTACTGTTGATTATAGCAGTAACTCAGTAACTGGTTGATTATTTTGACAAGTAATTGAGTAATCACTTGTTTTTTTTAAACCAAAGCCAAGACTGGCCGGCAGCTTCAAACTTCTCTTACGCTGTACTATTACCTCAGAATAACTCACTTTGCATTGTAATCCTTGTACACATTTCTAATAAAAGGTAAGTTGCCTTCAAATGTTGAGTTCATTGAAATAATGTAGTTAACAGAATATAAAACACATTAGAAATTCAATGAATTCAACAACTAGGTTACCTACTTTTTTAAGTCAAAACTGAATTATTTTTACAGTGTAGTTACTGAATGATAATCCTTAGGATGTAGTATTTTGGGAACATGGGATTTTGCAAGGTTAAAAAGGCCGAACACTAATAATGGCTTTAACTGAACTGTAAAAAAACACCCCACAGTTTTTCAAAGACTCCAAATGCTTCATTGGAGAAAAAAAAAATTAGAATGTTTTTAAAAAAAGTAATGAAAAAAACTATAATATATATATAAAAATATATAAACACTATGCATCCAAAAATGTATATGAATGAGTGTGTCTTTTAGGCTCTGTTTCTAACCCTAAGAGAGACCAGTAGCAGAATTTAAAATATGCATTTTCACGCGTTTTGCCAACTAATCACTGCCAATTCATAGAGAGGGATATTTTTATCTCTGTTTTTTTATTGAATAATCAAGTTTAATTGACTAATCATGACAGCTCTGAGTGATTGCATTGCTCCTCCATTGTAGCCACCCGATATTTCACTGTTTAGATTAAAAAAAATACCCTTTTGTTTGTGTTAGTAATCAAGGTTTAATTCAAATCTGTTGACAGGAAGTCACTACTTGCCTGCCTGACTATTACAAGTGGACACAGTACTTGTTTGTGAAGCTTTATGAAGCTGGACTGGCCTATCAGAAAGAGGTAAAGCATATCTTTATTAAGATGATTCTAGTGAGTAATAAGTCTCTCAGTCTGTCCCTTTGAAATAATTTGTCACATTTTATTTCAAAGGCTTTTTTTCTGGATACTTTATAACACAGGCATAAGCACTGAATAAACTGTTTATAAAGCGATATTTAAATATTTATGAGCAACTTATGCCCGTAATCACAGGGTTCCATAAGATGTATTCTCACAAGGGACCTTAAACTAAAGTGACAGATCCATTTACAACACTGTTATTAGTAATGAACTTATAAAGTAGAGGCATTTATCAGTCTGTATACAGCAATTCGCCATAATATTGAACCACCTCCTTGTTTCTATACTCACTGTGCATTCTATCAGCTCCACTTACTATATAGGTGCACTTTGTAGTTCTACAATTACAGACTGTACACCATCATCTTCTCTGCATACTTTGTTAGCCCCCTTTTACCCTGTTCTTCAATGGGCAGGAACAGATGTCTGTTAGTTTAAGGGTCCTTATGGCAATACTGTGTCACTGACTTCATTAAACATCTAATGTCATCTTGCGATTATTGCCAAATTTTTTTTCAGTATGGTTTATATCTGTTTCATTTTTGTCTGAATAAAACATACAGGCATTAATATATATCATTAAGAACATGACTTATCTGTAGCACTGGTTATATTTAGTGTTAGCTCAGTAGCTCATCTGAAGAGGCACCCTCTGGTTCTCATGTAACACAAAAACACGATTTCCCTTGACTATATTTGAATTATAAACGTGTTTTCAAATGTATTCCTCTGCATACTGCCAATTTTTGTACAACACACTGTCACCTAAAAATGTAAGCCTACCATGCTGTTAGTTTAGCTCTTTGGCTAAGCATTGCAACACACTGCAGCCACTCGCACTAGTTAGAAAGGTTCTTTGCATACTTATCTTCACTCATGTTGCCACTCACAGTGGCCTGGAATGCAATATCACTGGCCTGGGGATTTTTTGAACATTCATTCTCATGTAAAATGTGAGCCTATTTATTAAAAAAAATGTAAATTATGTTATTCAGTTCTTATGAATCCCTATCTTAGTAACCTTTAAACAAATTGCTATCAAATAGTGCAGGAATCCACAGATACTTAAAATGTCTTACAAAGTCTTAAAATGGGATTTTAAAAATTACATGTCATAAAATGTCTGAAAATGTCTTATCTTTTATAGTTAGAGGTAATAAATTGTGAAATAATGCCTGAATACCTGGTTGAAAGGAGTCTTTGTGTATAAAAAACTACTTCAGAACAGTTGGTTAAACAAAAGTATGCAGTCCACGTTGGTCCTGTGGTCAGAAACTGACCGTTGATGAAGAGCTCAAGCACCGCAGAACTGAACAGCGGTAAGATATATAGTGAAACTGAGGGCTGCTGTGATAAGACTTATGCTATACTGTATCCTGAAGAATATATCTATGTTTGGTTTTTGTTTGATCTGTTTGAATGAAACATACAGACATTAATATATGCCATATTTGAGTTTGTGTGCACTGTTATGCACTGGAAATGGTATTATTTTTCCTTTGTGGAGGTCTAAAGAAGATATTTAAAAGGATTGAATTTGAATTTGAAACACTGTGCAGCAACCCTGCAGCGAGGTTTAGTGTGAGTCGTAGTTCTCAGAAATGTAGTGCGTCAAAACTACAAAAAGGTATGGAGTGCGCCTGTATAGGCTCTGTTTATGCAATATAGATGTGATATGTGTTTGATGCCTACAGTCTAAGTCAGGAAATGAACTGTTTTCTGCCTTTCATCTGCCTCAAAGTCACCGTGAGAAGCCTTTCTCTCCTGCCTGGCAACGTTCTACCCAGAGGGTTGTGTTTACAGCAGCCTATCCTTGAGCACCAAGCCCTCAGTTACCCCAGCTGATGCCCAGGACATCAATGTACAGACACATCTAGGCTGACAAATATTTGCCTGTTTTTTGACGTGATGTGGTATTTTCGACGATGTTTGTTGAAATATCATTTGTTCCATCTAAAGTCAAGTGTTTGTTTGTGTCCTCTTTTTAGGCGCTAGTGAACTGGGACCCAGTAGACCAGACAGTCCTGGCTGATGAGCAAGTGGATGAAAACGGTTGCTCATGGAGATCTGGAGCTCCTGTGGAGCAGAAGCTTCTTAAGCAGTGGTTCATCAAAACCACCAACTACGCCAAGGTGAGTTTCTATACATTACCACCGTCAAACAAAGTCATTCAGAGCAGTTTGATTTGAAATGCTTCATTCTACAGACACCTACAGAGAATTGGTCACAGTGGTGGTGATAGGAACCAGACAGTTGAATGCCTATTAAAGCTTCTTCGCTGAAAGTCATAACTTAACATCGTTGCAAATATTCTGCCTGATGCCTGAGACATTGCTTTATCATTGTTTTGAAATCATTTTTTGCCTAAAGTCTATTTAAAAAAAATCAGTTTATGGCAGAGAAGTACATGCAGGGTGTTGTTAATCAAAATAGTCCCCAAAGAAAACTTATTTTTCCAGATTTACTGTTTTATCATTATCAGCTTTACATATAAAGCCTCGGGCAACATGTTTAGGTTAACTGGTGGTTTTGGATAGTGAATAAAATGGCTACATTTGTATTGTTTCTGTCACCACCACTGAAAAGAAATCAGCATTGATATGTTTCTCTACAATGAACCATTTCACATCCAACTGCTCTGAATGACCTTGTTCACTTTTCAGCGATTGAATTTTACCGAAATTTTGAAAAATTAGCAGAATTCTTCTTTAACACCGATAATCATGTGGGGACGGTGCCTTGTTTGGTTCTTGTCTGGAATCTGTTCTGCTGTCACTGGCAGGACACTTAAGGATTCACAGTGTGCATTAAAGATCATGAAGCGTTTTTATTGGCCCATGGTAAATCAGCATGTCATGGCTCTCTCTCGTGTTATAGCTCTTTATTCCTGACATGCCTGTTAAGTAGCTGGAAAGCCAAAATGAGAACAAACCAGTGGCGTGCCACTCGGCTTAATTGACCATGTTGGACATGTGCCAAAGTGGATGAGGATATCTGCTTAGCACTATTGGTGCCACTATTTCTCTGAAGTGTCCTCTGAGGAACATTAAGGTTGGAACTGCAGATGCAGATTTTTCTTTGCTTCATAATGTACAGTCAAGTGTAATTTTATATATGATTTATTTCACACTAAAGCATAAGCTTGATATAAATCAAACAATGCCTATAAGATGCTGCCACAGAGAAGTCTGTCAGACTCTTAAAAAGTGTGGAAGAGCTATTCTGTTACTTCCCCAGAGACTGGCACCTCACCATGCCCTCTTTGTAGTTTGTCATAGAATAAAATAGTAAAGCTCAGAAGTGAGAGGTGTGAGTAATAGCAGGGGAGTCCAGGTGCTGTCACTAACATGACAGAATGAAATTAAACTCAGAGAAGGAGTTACGAGCTAAACTAAATATGAAGGCTAAAGTGGAACAGAGTCAAATTAAGAAAAAAATCTGATGTTTCAATAAATTGCTCGTTTAAAAGTACTTAGAAGTACAAATTAAAATACTAGGTAGTACAAATCCATTCAAATTTAATTTGAGTACATGAACAGTGAATATAAAAAGTATATTGAAATGGCAGGTTTTATGATTTAAAGCTAAAAATCAAGACAAATCATATGTTTTTTTTATCTTTGGTGTAACCTAGCAACCGACACAATTCAAGAGAAAAAGAAATAGATTAATTAGATGAATTATAATGTGAATTAATCTATTTTAATTATATTAAAATAGATTCATAAAAAAAAACTAATTGAAAATAATATTTAAAAAAAACTTACAATATTGTGGTTGCATATGTGTGCACACCTTCACAACTGATACACTGATGAAGCACCTTTACTCCCGGAATTGCATCCCACTCTTCCTTATGGAAAAATTTAAGCTGGACATCAAATTTAAGGTGATCGTCTGTGCCCAGCCCACTTTAGGTCATTCCATAGATTTTCAATGAGACTGAGATCTGGGCTCTGACTGGCTCTGACATTGATCTTCCTTTTTAGTTGACTTGGATGTGGGGCTTGGATTATTATCATGTTTGAAAGGAAGAGGCCTACAGCTTTTTTGCCAAACTATACTGATATTTGGAGCTAGTCATTTTCCCATGGCTAGAGCCCCTGTCCTAACTGAAGTGAAGCAACCACAAATCATGATACTCCACCACCATGCTTCACAGAAGGCATGGTGTTCTTTAGTTAGTTCTTTAGGCTGTTGGATGTTGTCGTCACTCCGAACCTGTCTTTAAGAATTCAGACCAAAATTTTTAACATTTGCCTCATCAGATCGTTTTGGGTGATGTGATATATTTTTGCAAACTTTAGATAGGCTTGGCTGATCTTTTCTGTTTGTACCCCATAGCCTAGACCGGGGTCGGTACCATTTTTGGGGAACGGGAAAATTTGAACAAGAAGCTAACTTCAGGTTAACTTCAGGTGACTTAGCAGGTATAGGCTACTTTAACTCCAGCGTTTAAGACCATTTATTGTTAAAACTGTTGGAACGACCAGCAGAGCTTTATTTTACTGCAAAGGAGGATTATTTCATTTTTACCTAAAATCTTGTTCTGCGTGGAGCCACAACCGGGCAGTAAAAGAGCTGCATGTTGCCGACCCCTGGTCTAGACAGACATAGTATGGGGGATTTTTGTCACGTATAAGGTGTGGTCAGTACCTGCCAGAAATTCCTCCAGTTTTTAATATTACTGTAGGCCTCTTGGTAGCATGCCTGAAAAGCTTTCTTCTTGTCCTTTTATCAGTTTTTGAGAATCTGCCTGACCTTGGCAATGTCCCTGTGGTGCCACATATTTTCTTCCTGTTAATAAAAGTCTTCACAGTGTTTCGTGGTTCATCCAAAGCTTTTGATATTCTTATATAGCATTCTCCTGATCTTTATCTCCTAACAGTAAGATTCTGTAGATGTTTTGTTAGCTCCTCATGGACCGCAGCTATCCCAGACATATGCAGTCATCAAAATGTCAGAAACAGCAGCAGGAACATATGATTTTTATTTGAGGTCAGTCATAATTACTTTCATTGATGGCAAGTATATTCTACTTATAATTGGACATGATTTTGACTGGAACTTGTTCACTCTGAACACAGCTACAGTCTCTGTTATTAAAGGGTGTGCACACTTATGTAACTAGGAGATTGGAGGTGTTTTTTATTTTCAATTTATTATCTATTTGTTTTTCTCTTGAAATGTGTTGGTTGCAAGGTCACATCAAAGATGGAAAAATAAAATGGTTTATCTTGGTTTCTGAGGGTGTGTAGACTTTTTATATCCACTGTAACTAGTTACTGCTAATCTCTGCTCTGAGATTTACCCTTTGTGTTGCTGTTTGTGCTTGAGGTGTAAAGGTTACCCGAGAGCCAGGTGCAAAAAGGATGCTTAATGTGCTGCTGTAAAATGCCACTTGAGAATCTTTAAAAACTGAAAATTCACACTTGCTGACTGTGGATGAGTATATGAGTGGACTTTGGACATCACTATAAATGTACCTCAAATTCTGGAAAATCAATCTTTATAAACTCCTTATGAAATGAGCTGCTAGTTGACTAAGTACACCTATACAGTAGTTACACTCATTAGCCATTTTATCAGGAACACCTACCATATACACTGTATGGCCAAAAGTTTGTGGACACCTCTCCTAATTGTTGAGTTCAGGTTTTTCAGCCACACTCATTCTATACACATTGCTAACATGTGTATAAAATTAAGCACATAGCCTTGCAATTTCCATAGATAAACAGTAGAAGTGGCAGTAGAATGGATCATACTGAAGTGCTCATTGACTTTAAAGTTCACACTGTCATAGCATGCTCAGGACACTCAGGACAACTCAGGACAACTGAGTTGGACATGATGGTCTTCGATCGAACAGAAGAGGCCGTGCTCAAGCCGAACTGTGGAGAGGCAGCTGAATGGCGGAGAGGCAGACCAGTGTCGCTCGCCTAATGTCAATCAGCTGAAGCACTAGCAGGTTGCTCTTGTTCTTATAATCACAGTCTCCACTGCAGGCAGACTCTTCTCTGAGCAGCGCAGCCCAGCTGGGCCTGATTGATGCCGCTCATGCTGTGCCCAGCTGAAGTGACCCTGTCCCTCCCAGCTAAAACTCTTTCCATCTGAGAGCGGCCTGATTTGGCTGGATCTCACCTTTTGATTGCAACTGGTGGAGTTGTGTCAGGATGTCCCAAAGATAGTTAGATAACTTTATTTATTCCAGTTTGAGAAGTTGTTTTTCAGGAAAAAAGCTCACATTGGGCAATACAGATACAACAAGAACCATGACACATTAAGCAAGTCACAAGTAAGTATGGATTTGATCCAACTACTACAATAGAACACCAGCAAAAGAGCGTTTAAGTAGATTATCGAGGTGGACCTGCCTGCTCTGATCAGATCCACCTGATTGTACTGGAAATGATACTAAATACATACTTATTACGTACTTGGTCAACCCATCATAACTCATTTTCCTTCTGTACTGTGGTGGATTTCCACATGGAACACGGTATCAGGGAGCTAGCTTGATGATAGGTAGGGGTGGTGGGTAGTTTTATTGTTTAATTTTATTTTTCCCTGCCCACTTGTGCATGGTGACATAGTTCAAAATCAGAAGACGAGGCAGGCAGAAGTCACTGTGCTGCAGAAATAAAAAAATAACAGGGAAAAAGAATGTTTTAAAAAAAGATGAAAAAGGTCAGTTGTGGTTTAAGGTTGACTTTAAGTAGTTTTGACCAGTATTGCCTGTTTTAGAAATGAAAACTTTGCCAAAGCTGGGGACCAAATCTTGTGACCACAAGGTAGCAGCTCAATAGCAGTGAAGAGTGGGTGTCTAAGCATTGGCCATATCATCAGCAGATCATAGATTTGAAGCTTGGCGATGCCACAGCCATCCGTGGCTGAAAGTTCAAGATAGCATAATTAGCCTCACTCTCTCTGGGTAAGTAAGATGGCCGTCCCTTCCAACTGCCCCAGAGTCCAGACCTCAGCATCACTGAATGTGTTTGGGATTACAAGGATCATGAGAAGCAAAATATGCAACCAGCTTGTAAGACTGAACTTTGGAGGTGTGAAAACACACCCTGTAGATTTCTTTCAAAAATAGAAAGTGAGCCTCCAAACACAAAAGAATGGAAGG